TCACGCCGTGTTTTTGTGGGCTGCTTTTCATCTGAAGCATTCCAAGCCAGTAACAAGAACAGGTTGTAATAGGTGAAAGACAAAATAGACTTGAGTGTTAAGGAACAGCGTCAAGAAGCTAGAATGGGAGCTGAGCTTCTTTTCTACACTGGAGTACTAATAAAGCGGAAGCCAATGCAGTACTGGTAATATGGGAGAAATTGTCTGGCAGTAAAACGTAGAGTTTGCTTTTCTTAGTTACTAACTTTAGCCGATGAGCAGTGCATTGTTATTTTAGCTCGCCCATACAGTTGGGCATTTCCGAGAGCATTCCACGGACCGTTTTACGATTTGTTAGCGATTTCGGAGCGTGCTGCAGCGGAGGCTATTACAATGGGCAGGAAAATCTGTAAGTTTTCTATTCGTTGCGTGTCTGTTTTCTTGACTTATGCGGAACATGGAGGCGTACAAGAATCTATGTTGGAGATGTAAAATTCGGCAGACGGTATATGTTTCTAGCTGTGAAAATAGATGGTGACCTCGTGTATCAGTGGGTATAAGTCACGTAATAGAAAATGGATGTTTTGAGTGTGCTTCGAATAAGCGGCACGATTTTCGACTGGACAGGGTGCGTGACTAGCAGTTGAATGCTGACGGCTGAGTACGTGATATACGTGCATACAGTATGTGGCTGCATCTCATTTGCGTTCCGGGTTTCTGAGTAGTAGACCGAGTAGCCTTAACAACAGGATTTGTGAGATTTTGCTCGCACTCTCTTACAAAGTATTTTGAGAGATATAGACTTTTGATGGTCATTTCTTTTTTACACTTTTGTTTATCCTTCTCCTACGATTTTTTACGTTCTGTGTTACAATAAGTACACAAAAAACATATTGCTTCGAACCTGTCCATGTGTTTGTATGTTCATAGCACATTTTATCCGGGATTTTCATCTCAGCTAATAAGTGAGCTGAGGTTTCGGGAAGATGTTATCCTGCAGATTTGAATTCTGGTTCCACTTGTGCCTAGTTCTCGTGAACACGTGTAATTTTTGGCGGGGGACTTACTAACTCGGGAATCAGAGAAGTTAGGGCGATGAAATTTTAGGGCGACTTTCTGTGTTTGTGTCCGTGTGCGATCCAAAGATTCTGAAATCAGCTTTCTAAGCATGCTTGGACTGCACACACAGAATTTGTGGCGGGAGAGTTTTACTCGTAAGCCGAGAAAGCTAGGAAATTGAAATTTTAGGAGTATATGTCCTGCCTACGTGCGACTATATAAATTAAAACTCAGCGTCCAGATACAACTGAGTCTCACTTACGGGTGCGTGAAGATTTTGGCGGGAATTTTCTGCCTTGGAATTCAGGCAAGATGGAGAGTCAAAAACTTAGTGTGGCGTTTCGTGCCAGTGTATTCTAATAATTCTAATTTGGCTTTGTACGTTTACGAAGCCAAATTAGACTGCAGGTTTACGTCTGATGTGCGGGTACGTGAAATTTTAGTCGGGGACTAGACATCCATGCCTCGTCGTTGCTCCTCTCATCTTCACTCCTTCACACCGTTGATGTGTCTGGCGACTAGAACTAAATTTAATTGATGAAACATTTTTTAACATTTCGGTGAACGGTGAACTTGTGATATTGTCATCCTTCATGGTGTTCCCTTCGGCCGGTCTGTTGTAAAAGATCCCAGTTTAAGCACAGTGAGTGGTAAATCATGCTCCCATTTTGATTTGCCAGTTGCTTAGTTAGTGTTGCCACAGTTTACTTGCAGCTCCACTGACATTATTCTCTCCAACAGCGTCCGCAGTTCTCCACTGGGATCAGTTGGCGCGTCGTCTAGGCAATCTAAAAAACCATTTGGCTGGGCACTATATCCAGCGCCTGAAGGGTTTTGTGCACCGCTCGTCGCACAACAAATTGAAGAAGCTGCTTGACAGAGGTGAGTAATTGTTAAAATGTCATTTCTAACGATCTCGAATATTTTTGAGTTAGTGCAGCAAATCAGTGATTT